AGATGCATAGATATCATCAATCATACAATCAACCTGGAGTGCAAAGGTGCAATTTACCTAGTAAGGATTTGTGAGGAACAAATCATAGTTGTCGCTCGAGCGGTTTGCAAAACATGTGAACTTCTGAGAGCTTGCATTTTACGCTCGAGCCAACTTTTGGTCACTCGAGTGGAAACGCAAGATCACAGAATGGTCGCTTGAGCGCAGGATCTGCCACTCGAGTGGAGGGTGCAAATTTTGGAATTTCCATATTGCACTTCCAAGTCCAAAACTCGAATTCCAAGTTGAGATTCATGTTTTCTTGGGCCAAAACTTAAGGAAACCTATGTAATCTTGGAAATCATGGAGAATTAAAGATTATTTCATGAAATCAAGACACAAAAGCTTCCTAATTGAGTAAAATCAAGCTCAAACCTTTGAAAACATAACATGCATGAAGGATCTTGGTTTCAAAGCTTCCAAATCATGAACTATTGAGATAATTTGGTTATAAACTTCATGAATTCTCAAATCAAAAGCAAGATGAACATATGCACGTGGGGTTTCTTTAAAATTCAACTTACAATGCCATGAACTATGCATGCATGCATGTATTAAGTTCCAATTCATCAATTCTAGCTCATTTCTCAAATTAATCCATCTCTTTCACCTAAATTCTTACATGAACTAACTCAAGTATGCAACTAAGAGTTTGATTCCTTACCTAAGATGCTTATTTGCTCTAGAGTGCTAAAATCCTCCAAATTCTCTTCTAATGTTTAGCAATCCCTCTCTTTCCTTCATTGTTTGTTGAATTCAATTCTCAAGCTTACCTCTCCCTCTCTTCTCATGTTTTTGTTCTCAAGACAACAAAATGAGAGAGTGTAAAGTATAGTTAAGGGTCCACTTATGCCTTATGTAGGCTTGATTAGAGAATTGATTAATTAGGGTTGAGCGAACATTAATGATTCTAATTTAATTCGTTCCGAATCAAAATTCAATTAAACCTACCATAATATTCTAAAAATTCCTACTAACACATAACTGTAGTCAATTTCGTGATCGGATGCCGATAAGGCTTTCAATTCGCAGAACAAAGTAGAAACACAAACAGATAATCCAACACAAAACAGATAGAATTTCACATAGCATATAACACATGCAGTTAATGTAACATTTCATTTTAATTACTTGTTAGGCATTCTTAATCATGATTTAACAGTTAATCATAGGTCGGGGTTGTTACAGTAAATTTTCACAGAGAATCGATTTTGTCATTTTGTATTAGAAAGAAGTCGTGTTAAAATGATTACAAGTTTTACAAGGCCTGATAACTCCGTAGTACTTATCTAAGCAGATGTATGGTTGTTAGCAATCCATCTAGATATTGAGTCTCCAAAATTATTTAAAATGATGAGCTCCATGCCAAGTGATGAGCTTGGCTAAAAAAACTAATGTGCTCTAAATGAGGATTGTTTTTGGTTTTACCCAAGGCGTGACAAGTGCTCCAACTAATTTTGGTTTTATAACGAATGTTGATATATTAAAAACACTTTTCTCTATGAAGCTAAAAGTATTGCTAAGCTATAAGGTAAATGAAGCTTTATGTCATAAAAATCGTCTGAGTGTATCTATTGCTAATTAATTTAGGGCATGAACTAGCTAGAGGAGTATTATATAGTTGACTGGCTGGTTATAGCTAATAATTTTTGTCTTCCTTTTTGTGTTTTATGGATTACATTTCTAGACATTTGTAACTAGCTTTTGAAAGTTGCTCGTAATGTGTAACTTTTGATCGTAAATTTGTCCGAATGAGTAACTTGTAAAGTTTTGGTTTTGTCTTTTTGTTTTTATTAGATTTTGTGTTAAGGCAGGGCTCATGGAAGGTTTTTTTGGGCCAAAGAGACATCCTAATTTTGTTTTTGGTCTCAACGACAAATATGTACAGAAATTAGAGATGTTTGTGCACTGCTGGAAGTAGAGATTCTAATCAACATCTCACACCTTAGATGGGTATGTAGATTGTGTTCTCACAATATTCTGAAACATCAGTCAAAACTAAGGTAGTACTATTCACTTTTTGAGCTGCATTTGTTTTATTGATTTTTCATTTTCTTCTTCATATTAGATTATATAAACAAAGGGAAACAAATGTGGGCTCGGTTTTTGTACTCGTAAGCTTGTACTATATGATTACTCTCAAAATAGTTTAGTTCCTCAAAATTCATGCTTCTATTCCAGGTATTTTGACTACTTTTGGAAGCAAAATTGGTCATGACACTTAGATTCCCCACTATTTTTGCTCTGTTTCTAATATGCTAAATGAACTTACAAATCAAACCATCTACAAGTTTTTTGTTGGAATGTAAATAACTGTGTTCAACATACTTATGAATTGTTGAAACTATCTATCCATGAATGATAATGAATAAATAACATCAATATTCATATATATATTTTCGTTGTAAAATACGAATGTACCAATTTGTTTTTAAAATTTTTTCGATAAATTACAAATACACGCATGAGATTTGATTAAAATACGAATTATTCTATGTGATTTTAAAAATTACATTCCACCCCCTGAAACTTTTAATTTCATAATAAATTGCCCCTTTTATTAATAAATCATCAAGTTAATTAACAAATTTTAATGATGTTAAAATATGTTTCAATTAATAATTTAGGTAATTTTATTATTGTATAGGATAACAATTATGAATTTCATTTTTCGTAAAGTTGTCCGAATGAGTAACTTGTAAAGTTATGGTTTTGTCTTTTTGTTTTTATTAGATTTTGTGCCTTTTGATCGTAAAGTTGTCCGAATGAGTAACTTGTAAAGTTATGGTTTTGTCTTTTTGTTTTTATTAGATTTTGTGCCTTTTGATCGTAAAGTTGTCCGAATGAGTAACTTGTAAAGTTATGGTTTTGTCTTTTTGTTTTTATTAGATTTTGTGCCTTTTGATCGTAAAGTTGTCCGAATGAGTAACTTGTAAAGTTATGGTTTTGTCTTTTTGTTTTTATTAGATTTTGTGCCTTTTGATCGTAAAGTTGTCCGAATGAGTAACTTGTAAAGTTATGGTTTTGTCTTTTTGTTTTTATTAGATTTTGTGCCTTTTGATCGTAAAGTTGTCCGAATGAGTAACTTGTAAAGTTATGGTTTTGTCTTTTTGTTTTTATTAGATTTTGTGCCTTTTGATCGTAAAGTTGTCCGAATGAGTAACTTGTAAAGTTATGGTTTTGTCTTTTTGTTTTTATTAGATTTTGTGCCTTTTGATCGTAAAGTTGTCCGAATGAGTAACTTGTAAAGTTATGGTTTTGTCTTTTTGTTTTTATTAGATTTTGTGCCTTTTGATCGTAAAGTTGTCCGAATGAGTAACTTGTAAAGTTATGGTTTTGTCTTTTTGTTTTTATTAGATTTTGTGCCTTTTGATCGTAAAGTTGTCCGAATGAGTAACTTGTAAAGTTATGGTTTTGTCTTTTTGTTTTTATTAGATTTTGTGGTAAGGCAGGGCTCATGGAAGGTTTTTTTGGGCCAAAGAGACAGCCTAATTTTGTTTTTGGTCTAAACGACAAATATGTACAGAAATTAGAGATGTTTGTGCACTGCTGGAAGTAGCTATTCTAATCGACATCTCACACCTTAGATGGGTATGTAGATTGTGTTCTCACAATATTCTGAAACATCAGTCAAAACTAAGGTAGTACTATTCACTTTTCAAGCTGCATTTGTTTTATTGATTTTTCATTTTCTTCTTCATATTAGATTATATAAACAAAGGGAAACAAATATGGGCTCGGTTTTTGTACTCGTAAGCTTGTACTATATGATTACTCTCAAAATAGTTTAGTTCCTCAAAATTCATGCTTCTATTCCAGGTATTTTGACTACTTTTGGAAGCAAAATTGGTCATGACACTTAGATTCCCCACTATTTTTGCTCTGTTTATAATATGCTAAATGAACTTACAAATCAAACCATCTACAAGTTTTTTGTTGGAATGTAAATAACTGTGTTCAACATACTTATGAATTGTTGAAACTATCTACCCATGAATGATAATGAATAAATAACATCAATATTCATATATATTTTCGTTGTAAAATGCGAATGTACCAATTTGTTTTTAAAAATTTTTCAGTAAATTACAAATACACCCCCTGAAATTTGATTAAAATACGAATTGCTCTATGTGATTTTGAAAATTACATTTCACCCCCTGAAGTTTTTAATTTCATAACAAATTGTCCTTTTTATTAATAAATCATCAAGTTAATTAACAGTTTTTAATGATGTTAAAATATATTTCAATTAATAATTTAGGTAATTTTGTTATTGTATAGGATAACAATTATGAATTTCATTTTTTTAGTTAATTTTGTTAAATAAAAAATTCTAATAAAGATATATTTGTAATTTTTCAAACCATAAAGAGACAATCTGTATTTTAAGTAAATCTTAGGGAATGTATTTGTAAATTACCCAAATTTTTTTTATTTAATTTTTTTTAAAAAAAAATAGAAACTAATTTGACTAAAATAATTAATTAGCCCCAAAACAAAACAAAAAATTATATAAAAATAATGAATATTTTTTTTATTTTTTTCATCAAACTAATTTATAGTTTTTTTGACCAAAGAGAAAATAATAATAACGAATACTATTTAAAAACTCAACCGTTCATTTTTTGTTCTCTAGTGCAACAGAACAAGAAGATCAAAACATTTGATTCCAACACAACCGTGACAGTGAGTCTCGAGACAAGCCAAAATAACATGTACGTTGTAGCTTATGGTGAAACGACATAAGCTTATTTCAGTTAATTTAAGATCAAATTACAAATGGATTTGAAAAGACAGGTTAGTAAGCTTTTTGCTTACAGAAGCTGTTTTCCACTGAAAATTCACTTAAAAATCTCCTCTTTTTTCAAATATTACCGCCATGCTCTTGTATAAAAGATCCATCCCTCATTTTTCTTCTATTCCTGAATCTAAAAAACTAATAAGGATAAAAAAGACAATTACACAACAAAAAAATCATTTTATAAAACAAACACTAATCTCTTAAACTTAAATTTATAATCCAATTATAAACTATAATCTATTAAGTTAAAATCTATAATCTATTCCAACAGTAAAAAAAAAGACTTGCAATTCCTGAATCTTTGAACTAACACCAAATGCAATTCTATAATCTATTCCAACAGTCGCAGAAAACAAAGACAGGCAATTCCTGAATCTTTGAACTAACACCAAATGCAATTCAAGATTCACTTCATGGCCATTAAGCTTTTTACTAGCCCCAAAATCTCGTTGCGCATCTTGGCAACAACAGATGGATTAACCTGCTCATTCATCGTAGAAAACCACAACCCATCTTCATCTTTCAGTTCACTTTTGCTTTCATACCAGCTGCATATAGCTTTTGCAATAGCTGCAATGTATAGACCACAATCATAGCCATTCACTTGCTGTGGGGTTTTAGAGTACTCAACATATTTACAGGCTGATGCCATATCAGAGATCCCCATATATCCAACAATAGCTCTGTAAAGCTGTTTGGCATGCCCAGCATTAAGTCCTCCGTAGCTATCATGATGTACGAATACATTTGCATTTCTCTCAAACACGAGTAAGCTCCAATGGTTCCCACCTTCGGCTTCTGTCACGTCATCGTTGTTATTGACAGGAAAAATTACCAGTTTCTTACTAAAGAGATTAAGGGGTTCTACGAAATCCTTGAGGCTTTCGATGTCTGGGCAGTTTGCTATCCAGAAAGCAATTGAAGGTGAAACCAGTAGAATCTCCTCGGAAGGATAACATGAAGGAAGATAACTGAAATAAAATTCAATGATGCGATCGTTTAGAAAATATGGACCGCTGAGAATGTCTAGATCTGATCGTCTGAGCACAACATCGTTGTAGCTGAGAATCTTCTCAACCGCTGCGGATTTCCTCATCTTGTAGATGTCAATATATATACCTGGTGAAATAAGTTGATTTAGGTAAAAAATATGTACAGGGGAAAAGAAAACTATAGTGGCTGAATTTCATAATTAAATGATTACGGAAAAAGACATGAATAAAGCTGATAGTAGTATAGTTTGTTGAAATTTGGCGAGATATTGAAGAGTCAAAATATGCAGATTATATAGTCTAACACGGTTTTTGCCAAGAGTCCAAGACCATCAATGCCAGTCTTCTCACCTTTGCCTAAGTTCATATTGCAAGATAAATTTCAGCAATAGTATGGACTCCCAACAGCCGAGTACAAAAAAGACTCCAGCTATTGTGTTGCACTTCATAGGAATTGTTGTTGTCTTTTCCAGCAGAACTTTCCTTCTTTTTTTTCCCCCTCCTCTTTGATAAGTAAGGTTCAAGGTTTCAACCGCAATATTTGAAGATATTTTAAGATTTAGAAAGGATTGAAAGCTTAGCAAGGAACATTGGGAAAGATAAAACAAGAAAAAGGTCATTTTTCTACCTTTTCTTATTGGGGATTTTACCCGGATACCCAATTATCCTGGGGGAAAAAAAAACTGTACAATTGGACCTTGTAAACAGTCTTTTCAACCCCACCTCTTTCCACCATCCCACTACAAGTGCCCAAATGACCTTTGGCAATCAATTACTTTGGTTGGTGACTACATGTGCCAAGTCAATTTCCACTTGGTGACCCTGCTACCCCCTGTGCATTTATGCCATCAATATGACCTGGAAAACCCCAAATGCACTTAACTTCACCAATGCCTCAGCCAATAACATGAACAAGAAACCCTGGCCTTCCATTTAGTGACTCTTGTTTTCTACCATGACATCTCATACATGATCTTGCCCACTCCTTGTGAAACATCATCAAAATTCCACTCTTGATGTCATGAATATCAACCTAGACAAGTATGGAAGACAGGTTTTAGGAGGCTAGCACTAGAAATAATGGTCTTGTGCCATTTAAAGATTTTTATTTTTATTTTTATTTTTGACTGAGAGAAAGTAATTGCAGTACCAGAATCGCAAAAGCTTTGTGAGAAAAAATGGTGCCTAATGCTTAGGCTAATATTATAGCACGCTAGTGTTCCAATTACTCTAGTAGGGGGGTTTTCCACACACTACAGTCTACAACAATGAACTAGTAAGGTTGTCTGCATTAACTAAGTCAATAGGGTTTACAAGTGAACATGAAAGATTTCAATGTTTTTGAAGTTTCAGGAATGTTTAATTGAGAATATACAACTTGAGAAGCTTTCTTTAGTGAGTGTGATAACCTTAACTCTGCTATTGGGAATGCTTAAGGAACCAAATATATGGTTACCTTAGTTTCCTACTTCCTCAACATCATTTCGTTCTTTATCTTATTTATTTTCTTCTTTTTTCCAATTATTTGTAGTTCTGAATTTCCTAGTGTTAAATTCTGATCCACATTTAGCTGGACCAGAAGAAAACCGGCAATACTATCCCACAAGCCATCCCCAACCAAATTTTAATCACCCTTACAAATCTACAACCTACATTAGCAATGCTCACAATTATTACATTGAACTCTGAAATATTTGGCATCAATGTTAACTAACATTTCCTTGATTCAGTTCCAGATGAACTCTCCTACACTAACGAATATTAGAATCACTAACCAACAAAGTTGTGTGGTTATTGTCCATGCCTAAAATAGCAGGAGCACCTAAATAAATCCCATTGTCAAAAAATTCCCACGGTCTTAAGGATTTGATACAGCTTATAACCTTCTTGTTTTGCAAAATTAACACACTAAATTTATCAATGTTCTGGAAACTTTTTAAACAATTTGCCACTAGTTTGACAGGATTTCTAAATATTGCATTTCCTCACAATAACTTACAATCATCAAAGTCAGTTCTACTATTAGACAAAATGGAAACCCATCTGGCCCAGCCTGTTACTATTATTAAAAGTTTTAAGAGTTCAAATAGGTGTTCAACTTTACTTTGCAAATCCATCTTCCAATTTATATATTAAGTAAACAAACACTTTTGACTTTTGATTCCAAGTGTGATAAGTTCCAACAAGGAGAAGGGTATTTTCAACATTTGAGCCATAAAAAAAAAGGGATAATTTGAGAATTTTGAACCAACCTGCTGTTAGAAATTGAGATTGAAGATGGAGATGAAATTCCCTTTTCAAACCCAGTATTGGCAATCAAAGAAATGAAGCTGGGCAATTGCAATTGCAATTGCAATTTCAATTTCAATTTCAATTTCAATTTCAATTTCAATCCAGAGCTTTGGAAGGTGATGATGAAGAATGAGGAGTAAGATTAGCCCAATTGGGTTTCTATGCCCAGCCGACCATAACCCCAATAAAAACAGCAATCCAGAGAGGGGCAATGAAAATCATGAGCTCTATCACTACATCCCAAATTGTGGGTCGTTGAAAGATCTCAAAACAAAGAAGAAACCAAAGCCATATCACCCACCCACCAACCCCTCAGGAAGATTAATCTATGATCTAACAAAGATTATTTGGGTTTGGAGAGAGGGAAAACAAGACACAAAGCAAGTGTGTTAAATGGAAGAGATTTTTCCTCTCTTAAAAAGGAAAAAAAAAATATTAAAAAAGAGGATAAGGATGTTTGAGATTAGAGATAAGCGGGTAGAAGAGGGATGTTTGAGATCTCTTCCTCTCTCTCTCTCTCTCTCACATCTGGCAACTTTTCAAAGCCTTCCTGACCAAATACAGCCCCTAAAATTTAGAGGAAACAAAAACAGAAAGACCAACAAAAAGAAAAAAAAAATAAATTGAAAGCACTTCCTTAAATAAGAATTAAAATTTTATTTGTTTGATTGAATGAATGAGATTGAGTCTTGACGGGGATAGGTTGGACAGAGCATGCAATTCTTAAATGATGAGTGAAGATATAATTAGGATGTAACAGAAAGTCATTAAACTAAGGGACATACCTTGTCGCTATATTAAGAATGTGCATATTGCTTCTTGAGTTCCCATGCATCATATCTAAGATCTCAATGAAACGGGTCTGCAAAATAATTAATATACATTGCCTTTAGAAGTCTTGTTTAGTACTATATTATGTTTCTAAATTATACAACCATGAAACTTGCAAACAGACAACTGATCATTAGCAAGTAGAAATTAATTTTTTAAGATAAAGCTGTCATTTAATTGATTCATTTAGGAGACAAAAATAAAATAAAATAAAATAAAAAATTGGTATATCTAAATCAGTTTGCAGACTTCAGACCAGAAATGGTCTTGTTCACAATATTGCATGTGAACACAAGATGAAGCAAAATCCTTAATGCGACACCTAACACTCACCAAAGCATTAATTTGTCATTACATCTAAAGCATTCATTTAAGTTATTGTATGCATAAACAACCTGAAATTTTTATTTTGAAACATCTAAGAAACTTTCTTCAAGAATAACACAAAATTGAGGCACACTTACCAAATAAATTTAACTAATAATCCACCATTATAAATACATCCCCAAGATGTCAAATGAGGAAGTAATTATAAGATAATAAAAATAGAGTACCATGGACACTAATAATTTAAAGGAAAAAAATTTAAAAAAATACAAAGCAAAGGTCAATTCCTAAATTTTTCAAGATTCAACATGTGCAAGGATGGTCTAATAGAAACTAGGATGAGCTAGGAAGTAGAGACACTTGTCAGAAAAGCCACGTGGCTATGAATCGCACAAGAAAAACTAATTGAATTGCTTCCTTATCTACTATTTTTCTTCTTCCCTTCTATAAATGAAAATAAAAAGCTTTAAAAAAACCATTTTTCTTCAGCACAACCATCACATTTAGGGCCAAAAAAAAAGGGAAAAAAAGCCATAATTTGGACATAACAGAATGCAGATGTTCAAGTTAGAACGTAGAAACAGTGAGCAAAATCAAGCATTTTAAACAATTACAACATCTGGTGTGCATTAAAGTGTACTTAAATATATATATACATATATATATAGTGTATCTACATAGCTATAGCATTGAAGGTTTAATAAACTTAAGAGTCATTCTTGCTTGGTGATGCTAAAAACTCGGAATTGCAAGCAATGTCAATTCTACTTTGAGAGTAGTCACTTTGTGCAAATAATGCCAAAGCTTATGTTTATCTCTTGCCCCTCCCAACACCCCTTTGAACAAGAACCAATGGCATGTAATGTCATTTTAGAAGAGGTATATCACATTTGCAATTTTAATTCCAGACAGTGAAGACAAAATTTCATATATTTACTAGAAACATAAATTCCATTCACTAACCTCCATAGTGCATGCATGACATAGGAGCAAAGTCCCAAGAAGTTCGTGTTGCTTCTAGACAACAGGAAGGATAGCAACTAAATACAAAAAAAAGATACATGATGCGAAGCCCAAAGAATAACAAGAAGCAGCACAAGTTTTCCTAAAGATACATGATGTAATGTCCATGTACACACAAAATTATACCTTTCCAGTCTTTCCAATTGCCAGAATGAGTTCAAGTTGTTTTTGCTGCTGCTCTTACACAAAAGACTCCAATTAACAAATAACAAGTCAGATTGATAATATCATTTTAGCATGCATCCAGTTCTGCAATGTCTAAAAACCAATCCATGAGTCTAAAGATATGATATACATGATTCACACTACTAAACTTTTGGACAATTTCTGGTAATATTTCAGACCAACCTCCAAACAATGATATAATACAGATAGTATTTGGCACAGGCAGAACTTGACAATAGGGTGAGATTCAAGAAACAATTGTGTTTAGTGCATATGGAAGACAAACTTTTATTTGTTCAAGTTCTGCTTGAGAAAACATGGTCGTCTGATCTAGGCATCCCTAAATGAAGCCTGAGACAGTTTACTATGGTGCACATATACATCCCAAAAGAAGAACAACAAATCAAGCTTCTATTGCTTGGTACACAAGCAAGACTCATATCCTTGATGCCAAAAGTGTACACACATGCATGTGCACAAGCACACCAAACCACCAAAGAGAAAAAATGATAAATAATACAAGATAGGAGAGGACGACGACAAATCACACTCTGATTGTTTTGTGTGTGTGCATGAACCCATATCCTTGTCCAACTTTTGACTGAAAATGGGAAGTGTTTATGAGAAACATCAATTAATCCATCTACAAAACCTATAAAAGATACCTGAAAAATAATCATTGAAATACTTTTTTCTTAACTCACATCTAGGCATAACCTAAATGATGCAGTGCAATATACCCAATGGACTGCAAGCACTGCAGATGCTAATTCAGATCAGTGCATATAAATAGAACCAGGGTGAGGGAATTCATAATGAGAGAGAGAGAAGAGCAGAATGAAGAATCAGGAATGAAATCTCATTAGGAAGAACAGGATGTCATTATACATAGGTAGCATGTTCAAGTGTTCAAACAAGACAAAAGTTATTCCTTCTGCATATGAAAGTTCAAACATAGCATTGCCACAAACATATGATATAAAACATCATTTGCTCATATATAATTAATATAAAAAAAAAATAAAAGATATCCAAAAATAATCGGCAACATGAAAAAGAGCATGATAAACATCTTATGATCCCCAATCTGGTCAGGTGTAAGAAATCCCATTCTCCTCTGCCAATCAAATCACACTAAAAATAATAGAACCTTAAATATGTTCAAAACACAAATAAAAGACCATAGTTAGATATCCAAAACACAAAGCAAAGCACTAGTTCAACAGAAACAATAAACAATTCATGATAACCAAACACACACACATGCCTAATTTATACTAAATTGAAGAAAAGAAACAAAAATGGAATGGCCAAAATTAAATTGAAGAATATAGACCTTAATGAACTAAATGAACATAAAATTAAATGAAAATTACAAATTAAACAGAGTAAAAAATTACAAATTCACATTTTTTGGAGAAGCAAAGGAAGCCTTTGTTGTATCTGTATCTGTATCTACATCAGTGAGTGAAATTTTAAAAAAAGATAAGATTAAGAAGGCAAATGAGAAAGAGAGATGATGATGATGATCCTATTATTACCTCTGATGAAGGATTGCGCAGTGTTAACTCTCATCAAAGACCTCGTGCAAAACGATTGAGAGAAAAATTCACGAAACATCAATCCACAAACCCTAACTCACTCTGCTATTACTCCATCTTCTATAGATTTGTAACACACTCAAAAATCCCGAAATTCATCTACTCAAAATCAACAGTGATTCAATGCTTAACACACACACATATACACATTTTGAGAGTACAGATTTGAAGCAAAATTGCAAACCAGAGAGACATGAGATTGCCAGAGTCAAAAAGTTCAAGATCTTGAGGAAGTTGAGGACGGCTACTTCGATTCTTGCTCAGACCTCAACAAAATAAATTCAATTTCAATTTTGAAATTCACACACATATATATAATATAGAGGTACATATATAGGTGTGTTTACCTGAAGAGGATGAAGGATATCGACATGGCAGAGGTGCTGATCTGAGAAGAAGATCAAGGAGAGAGAGCACAAGATTGAGAGAGAGAGAGAGAGAACGAGATTGAGAGGCTAGATAGATTCACAATGTGAGACCGAGAGAGAGAGAACGATCAGCGTTAGTGGTGTGTAACGGTTTATCGAACCGCTCAAACCCCCAATCCGCCCAACTCGCATATAAATGGGCGGTTTCGCAAACATAATGCGGGCGGATGCGGTTTGAAATATGACAAATTTGTGGGTTGCGGGCGGGTCGTGGTTTAAACCCGCAACCCGCAAAAACCGTCCGCACTTTAATTATTATTATTATTATTATTATGCGGGCGGGTCGCGGGTTAAACCCGCAACCCGCAAAAACCGCCCGCACTTTAATTATTATTATTATTTTTTTTTTATATACCAACTTTGCAATTTTAACAGGAGCACCATTATATTCTTTATGACACTAGAATCCTTATTTTTAAGTATTTCTCAACTTTCTTAATGCCGTAAAATTATCAAGTCATAAACTTGGTTTCTTATATGATTTTCATTGGTGATTCATCCATTTTTTTCTAATAAAATTTTCCTTCTAATGGTCGATAGAACTTATAGTTTGATTATTGATTATTGAACTGGCAATTCTAATTGAGTACAACCTTTAATGCATTGATATTTATTTTTTTCATGGCAAAAATGCTAGTGTAGGGTCTCTTTGTTTTGGGTACTTTCATTTAATGCATTGATATTCAATTTTTATTTGTAAACTCATCAAAAAATTGTTATCACGAATATATAAAATGAATCTGATGCCTAAATTCGCTGAAAAAAAAAAAAAACTCGAAAATTAATTTTTAAAGAAAAAAGTGTAAACCGCAAACCGCCCGCAACCGCCCGCACATTTGCAAACCCTATCCGCACAAACCGCAAACCGCACTGCGGGCGGTTGCGGGTTGACTTTTTCCCAAATCGCATAGATGCGGGCGGGTCAAAACCAAACCGCAAACCGCACAAAACCGATCCGCGAACACCCCTAATCAGCGTTTGTGAAGGGACTAGGCAAAATATAAAAAGGGGATAATAAATAAAAGATAATAGGGAATAAATTGGCTATTTGCGATGATAATCAGGTGGTCACAAATTATATGATAGCAAACTGTCATTTTCCTACTTGTTCAAAAAAAAAAACTGCCATTTTCCTAGTAGTGTAGGTTCTGGAATAAAAAAAAGTCACTGTCTCTAGACCTAGCGAGAGCGAGAGGCATAAATCAAGAGCCAATCGTCCGGGTCACTGGTTTTACCGATTTAACCACTGGGTCACCGGTTTTTCCCGGTTTTCGCCCCACTCCGGGTTTAAGGGGTTGACCGGACCGGAACAAGGCCCGGTTCAACCGGTTCGATCGGCTGATCCAGTCCGGGTTTGAAAACAATGGAGCCAACCATCCCCAATATACATATGCACAACATAAATATATGTAGTTCAAAACTTCAATGGAAAGTTAAACTAAGTTGTGAATGATGGTGAGACAGGCCACCAGCTAGAAGGGTCTCTAAACATATACTCTCAAATTTCTGGTGAAAAAAATCCAAATCATCCAAATAATATATAAATTTACGCTTTCTTTGATCATTCAAACGGTTGAAAGTAGTAGAATAAAAAGGAATCGATTAGAAATGGATTGATAAACAAACATACAGGTAGCTAGTTTCTTTTCTTTTTTTAAGCAATTTCTTAGCATCCAAATAGAGCGAAGAAAAGAATTAGATAACTTTTTCCTGTTCAAATTAAAGCCAGGAATCACAAGAGTGCTGCCAGAAATCGCGGCTCCTTTATGCGTTAATGCATTCCCATGCATTGCCAAGTCTTATGCTTTGCTAATGCTATAATATGTCAACATTATTAAATTCAACTGTAATGTCTCTCTCATTTGGTTTTCTCAACAAAATCATACAATTACACATACTTGAAAAAATACCAATACAACCACAAGCCTAGAAACAAATCACAAACCATGAAAACTAGTATTACCAAAAAGTTTGTTTGGGTTTATGGACATCCATTGACTATCAGATACGTCAGCTACATGTGAGCCCTATATAACGAAAAATTATTTGTTGGTGGCCAATCACAATTCACCATGCCGCTCATTGTTCCCAATAACCCACCACAAAAATCGTAAATTCCACTCCCTCTACCAATCATAACAAACGTGGCCGTGCCCCAGGCCCACCAAATAACTTCTTCTATATCACTCATTTCTTTTCTGATTAGAAATAAAAAAAAGATGACCCCTTTTCATCTGGGTAATAAGTTGATAGCATTATAACAGTTGCATATTGGGAATTTGGGATACGAAATCACAACAGTGAGATGAAGAACACTTTATTTAACAAAAATTTACGACGTTATTGAATCAGGGAGATCCTAATAATTACTGTTAATTATTCTATACTTTCCCTAATGGCACAATTTTGTAGATCTAGTAAATAATATGGAAAAACTACAACAACAACCAAAAATAAAAAAATAAAAATCACCAAATTTGATATTTGTTGGAAATGGTTAATTTTTCCTCAAGTTTGGTCTATTATTTAGGTGGGCCCCGAGTGTAGATTTACACAAAAATTTACGACGTTATTGAATCAGGGAGATCCTAATAATTACTGTTAATTATTCTATACTTTCCCTAATGGCACAATTTTGTAGATCTAGTAAATAATATGGAAAAACTACAACAACAACCAAAAATAAAAAAATATGAAGATTGTCCTACAATATTATCCATGGTCTGTTATCTTCTATGTGGTGTACTTGAAGTAGCTTCTATGAATCAACAAACAAAATACGACCTAGAATAACAAACTCAACACAGGATTAAAACTCCAACACAGAACTACAATCTTGAGAGAGAGAGAGGGGGAGAGATCGAGATCTTGAAAAAGAGCTAGGATTTTCAAAGAGACGAAATCGATTAAATATGATCAATTTTGTTGATAATGGAAGAGAGACTGGTTTTTGGGGAGAGAGATCATGAGTTTTGATCCCACAGTGAATGATGATCTAAATACGGGACGTCCGACCGGTCAAAAATAAGCAATTGAACAACGTTATCTAGTTTTAAAAAAAGAATAATGGTATATGCATTAATTATTACGCTAATTAATGTATTAATTGATGATGTGATATAATTTGAGATGTTTTTTATATTTATAATTTGTATAATGAGTGAGTTCAATAATAATGTCATAACTAGTATTGGTACATTAATTAGTATATTAATTAGTGCATGTAACACCACTTTTTAAAAAAATAAAAAAAACAATGCTATCAAAAGTAACATTCGTTACATTGGGATAATTTGAGAAACTAGCTAAAAGGTAGTTTTTAACTTTTAATTTATTTTGGATCATATTATTTCTCATATTTTTTACATGTAAAAAGATTAAAAGAAATTTAAAAATTAATTTTTAACCAACTTTTCAAATCACCTGATTGTAACATTTAGTTTGTGAGGTTTTAATTTTTTAAAAATTAATTTTTTTGTTTTTCATATTTTTTTGTTTTTATTAAATATTTTTAAAATTTTAAGTAATTTAAAAAGAAAATTAGATACACATTACTTAAATGTATCTAACTAATAAAATATTTGTGAAAAAATATTTTAAAAAATTAATAAATACACAAAAATACAAAAAAAATGTATTGAATTTTCCCTTTTTTTTCCTTGTATTTTTAGTATTTAGTAATTTTTTTAAAGATTTTTTTCACCAATATTATACTTTTAAGTGTATTTATGTTAGGTGTGTCTAAAAATTAAAAAAAAAAATCTTAAAATATTAAAACAATTCAATGAAAACAAAAAATATGGAAAACAAAAAAATAGAATTTTCTGAAAGTGAATTCTGGAAATAAAAACCAAACAGAGTAATTAATTTGATTATATGTCTATTTTATCAAATAAAATATTATTTGTCTGTTTATTTATTTATGTATGTCTGATAAAATTAATTTTTTATACAGTTGATCTTTATTACAAAATTTATGTGATGAACTGTTCAAATTATAAACCTAAAATAGGATCTATGAAATATAATATTGAGAAATATGACAAACAACAATATGAAGAGAATGCATTCCTAATATAATAACTTAAATAATTTTGAACTAACAATCCTTTTTGCTTCTTTGGACATAAACTTTCACCAACTTATATCACTTTTATAAAAATAAAAGTAAAACACCACGTGTATTTCATTACTGTCGATAACATTTTTCAACGTGCTCATAACAATCATGAAATAGCATACAAGTTAGAATATTAATTATCTTTGATATATATATATGTCATCAATCATCAATGGATTAATATTTTCAATTGAATGTCAGTAGAAAAACAAAAATAGATTTATGTATATTCTTACGTAGCACAACCACATGCAGTAGTACAAAGAAGACAATCATAATCTCACATCTAAGATTAAAATTTTGGCGTCGCACAAAAAAGTGTTGAATAATTTCAAAACTCAATTCATACAAAGCTGGTTTCAGAATGCAATTAACCAAAACTTCCTTTGTAGTCTCTTCGATTGCACCTCTTAACATATCCATATTGGATTATTTTGTATCCAACTTAAGTTAGAAAGATGGAAAGCCATTTTATAGGATTTAAGATGTGTGGCCTCCTTATATGAGTCAAATGTAGTAATATGTTTTTTTAATGTTATGCCCTGTTATTTTAATAAACAGAAACAGACCCAAAAAAATGTTAGGTCATGACAAAAAAATATTTCAATGTTATGCCCTGTTATTTTAATGGGAAGAAACAGAAACAGACAAAAAATATTATGCCATGAGAAAAAAAATGTTATGTCATGAGACATAAACAGACAAAAAATGTTATGTCATCAATGTCGTAAAAATATTATGTCATCAACCTGATGCTGCGAAATGTTCTGTGTTATGTCATCAAAACACAAAACAGTGGGAAGAAATGTTATTTTAATGGGAACTGACAGATAGAATGCTAATTATTGCTGTTATTTTAATAGGAACTGACAGAATAGGTGTGATAGAATGCTAATCGTAAGTTAATGGGAAGAATGCCTTGATTTTGGATGCTGTGAAATGTTACGTGAGTTTTCATGAAC